CCCCAAGATTTTTTTAAGTAGGCTCCACGCCCAGCATGGAGCCCAACGTGGGGCTTGAACTCATGACCCTGAGATCAAGATCTGAGCTGAGATCAAGAGTCAGACGCTTAGCTGACTGAGCCACCCAGGCGCCCCTGGTTTAAAGATTTTAACCCATTTGATATTTGGTCCACATAATGAGGGGGTGGGGCACATCAGTCGGGACCTCAGCCGCCTGTCCCCTCCCCTACGATGTGCCATCGTGCCAGCTCCCTGCGGGTCCGGTCGGGCCACCTGCCATCCCTGGCCCTCCCTCCCACGCCATATTTAACTCGCCCGCTGCTGTCAGCACTCTTGGTAATTCCCACCTGTTTCTTCCCTGGACAGTGAGGTGGCATCACACAGCGCTGGTCTGGAGTTCCCCAGAGCTGGGCTCCAATCCCAGTGGCCCCTGTGTGACCTCCAGCAAGTTACTGAACCTCTCTGAGTGTCACTGAGCCCCCGCAGGAGCCCTACGGGTACACGGAGTTGTGCAGGAGGAGCCTCAGGCACACGTCTGGCAGTCGGGGGCACAAACGTCATTCTGGGACTTCTTCCCTGCCTCCCCTGACAAACCATCCCAGTGAGGGTTCTTTTCTAAGATTTATTTGAGAGGGAGGGAGGTAAAGAGAGAGAGAGAGAATGAGCAAGCGAAAGTACAAGAGTAGGGGGAGGGAGAGACTCCCCGCCGAGCAGGGAGCCCAATGTGGGACTCGATCCCAGGACCCCGGGACCATGACCCGAGCCGAAGGCAGACGCTTCACCGACTGAGCCACCCAGGCGCCCCCCCAGTGAGGGTTCTGACAAACTGAGTTAAACCCTTTGGAAAGGATGGATGTCTACACAGTGTCCATCTTTCATCAGGGACATCGGACATGTCTTCTTGATTCAAGCTTTCTTCAATGTCTTCTACGGAGTGTGACATTCCCTGACAGGAGTCGGAGATTCCTCGTTCAGGTCTCCCGTGGCACATGATGTGTCCTGCGGCTATGAATGGGATCCTTTCCCGCATGTTGGCTTCCAGTAGGGCGCTGCTCACCTTCAGTTCTGTTTCTTGGATGGAGCCTTCGACCCAGGAGCTTGAACCCGTCCGAAGCCTGCCCACAGCAGCCCTGCGCTCTGCCTCACCTGACAGTGTCCTTCCCAGCGGCTACTGGGGGCACGTCCACCTCTGGAGGGACCGTTCCCTCGGGACAGCCGCCCTGGGGACGCTGGTGCACATTTAAACATCACGTCCACCACACTGTCCTGTCAATGGGGCTGGGTTGGCCAACGCCAGCGGCAGATTCTTCCAGCACAGGTGGGCACGCCACCCTCGTGAGTGCCCGCCGGGGCCCCTTCTCACAGCCCAAACACCAGACTCGACCAGGTTTGGAAAAAGTCTAGTTTATTGCACTGTCTCAAAGCACAACTAAAAATTAAAACCAGAAAGAAAAACCGTACAAAGCACTGAAGCTAAAAGTAGTTTAAAAGTATCAAACTAGACTTGGGTTTAATTGCACTAAAGTCCCGAGGGTTGAGGAGAGCTGTGCCGTGTGAGGGGGGCCGGGCAAGGCACGACATACAGAGGAGGGGCCGCAGTCTTGGCTGGCCTCTGCCGTCACCAAACTTGTAAAACAAGGATTCTACACAAGTGGAGTGTGAAGCAGGATCTAGGATTTCATCTTCTTGTCCTCATTTAGACCTGGAACGCCTCCATCTTCGCGGCTGGCTGGGTCCCATCAGAGAACACATTTTATCGCTCTTCACCTGTGGCCTGGGGGCTCCCGGACACATTTACTTAGTGGAAAACAGCGAGTAATGGGGCCCTGGGCCAAAGGCAGCCTAACGAAAGCAGCGAGGCTAGGGTCCCGCTTGGGAGCTGCCTCCGGGACGGAGGGGCGCTGGGCTCGGGGCTGCCGAGCCTACGGCCCAGAGGCCCAGCAAGGACCCCCAGGACTGACGTCTGGCGTGGCCACAGCGGGCACAGGTCGAACCTCGCGGGGGTGCCCACCCCAGGCCCGCCCACGGGGCCGGCGGCCGCTCGGAGCCAGCCGGCAGGTCCCACGACGGCCCCGCGGGGGGAGCCCACGCACAGCAAGGCTGCAGCTGAGGACAGTGCAGGCTCAGGGCAAACCACGCGAAGGAACCAAAGGCCTTCCACTGGTTTCAGAAAATACATTTCTCCTCTAAATTTATAAGAGTTGATTTCAAATGAGGTATCTTATGCAGGTTTGTAATACAACAAACAAAAAAGGCAATAATTAGTAGACTCATCCTGCGAGGACGCTTCTGGCCGTTATGAGGTCCACCAGCAGCACTAGACATCACCCCAAAGACCGTGCTCAGTGAGCTCCCGTGGCTGAGCTCCCCCACGTCCGGCCACACCTCCCGGGGCCACAGCTGCCTTGGAAACACGTGCACCTTTTCTATGCCTTTATTGTTTTGGGTAACGTGTGGCCTCCAGGAGGCGAGCGTGCCGTGCCCTCAGTGGGCCCGGAGGGCGTGGGTGGTGTGTGCGCGCCCGGGTGTGTGTGTGTGTGTGTGTGTGTGTGTGCGCGCTGCATCCTGGCAGAGACCAGCACCCCACCTCGCAGATGCAGCCTTGGTTTCCCCGCCGGAGTGGCCAGCATGGAATGTGCTAGAACTTGGGTCCCTGTGGTGACCGCGAAGCCGGCGCGGACCCCCTCATGGGTGGGAGCGCGCTGACCTCCGGCTCCCCGGCTCGTCCCCTCTGCGGGCCTGGAGAGGCCGGGGTGGAGGCCGGCGCTGCCGCACTCAGAGGCGGCCCTGGCAAGAGCTCAGAGGCACTGCCGCTCCGGCCACAGCTCCAGGTCGCTCGGCCGAGGCTGTGGGTTCTGGAACAAGACGGAAACAAACATGGATGAAAGCAAGTGTGGGCTGTCCAAGCCGGCCCGACATGTCTGGGCAAGAGCTGATGAGGCGTGGCCGGGAGCGAGCGACTCCGAGACCACCGTGTCCGCCACCCGTCTCGGCCTCCTCCCTCCTGAGCGGCCTGCCCGAGGCTCCTTCAGATGACCTCCCACTCGTCCTCCAGGTCCTCGGGGTGGGGGGGGGTGGCGTGGCTGCTCGGGGCACCGTGCGAGTGGCTGAACGTCCTCGTCAGCCGCTGGAGGAGGTAGCCGGGGGGGCCCACTGCCCACAGCTCATCTGACGAGGTCACTGCAGGGACGAGAGGCAGCCGCACACTCGTGAGTCACCCAGCCTGGGCGGCAGGCGCAGGGGGAGTCGGGCCGGCTCCACATCCCAACGTGACACTTTCTAGCTGTGGGCCCTGGACATGCCACCCCCAACCTGGGCCTCAATCTCCTCAGCTCTAAAGTGGGTGGCCCCGCGCCCTGTCCTCCCGGGCCACTCTGGCCAGCAGGGTGCTGGGTGCCCTCCCTCAGGTGTGACCCTCGGCTCTCGGGAGAGCGAGCCCCGAACCCGAGGAGAGCCGCGCAGCCCCGAGCCCTGCGGAGCCCAGCACTTGCCTGTGAAACATGTCACATTGCCGGGAATTTTCTTCCAGTAGTCTCCCGCGGGGTTCTTGTCGGTGACGCCGTACCGTCGGGCAAGATCACCATTGGGGCAGCGGGCCCACACGGTCCTGGTGCTCAGTGCGAGCTGGCAGGCCTGCAAGCCTGCACGCCAACACGGTGTCCGTCTGTCCTGAGCCCCCGGCTGGGATGGGACAGACCACCCTCCCCGAGTCTGCTCCCTCCCATCACTGGGTCTTGTCAACCAAGGGTGGCCCCGTGGTGGCCCAGGGAAAGGGTGCCCCCTGGCCGAGCCAGCAAAGCCGCGAGAGCCCAAGGCCACGGGACCCCACGGTCCAGGCAGTCTGGAAGCAATCCTCCCACAGGCACTCTGAGGGAATGGGGCTGGCAGCAGTTGGGCAAAGCGGTCCCTCAGACAGGGTATTCAGTTAGCCCCTTGCTCTTGCCTGCCTCAGCAGGATAGCAGAAAGGAAACAAAGCCCCGAGGGCAAAGCCGGGCCTGCCGTGTGCACACAGGCCGCTGGACAGAGTGGGTGCCTGTGTCCGGGGGCAGCCACGATGCGCTGGCATCCTACCTGGCACGTGCTCCCAGGCGATCCCCACCGGCATCTCTTCGGTGATGCCAGCCCGGACGTGCACGTTCCACCTGCTGTCGAGTGCCCACAGCATCTGGTCGTTGGGACTGGAGTGGACGCTGACCAACGTGACCCCCGCGGGCTGCAAGCCGGAAGAGACTTTCCTCAGGGAAGGAGGTGGTGGGGCACGTTATTTTTGGAGAGAGCAAGGACAGAAGGCCTGGAGCCTGACACAGGACAGGAGGCGCACGGGGAGGCAGAGTGGACCTCACAGGGTGGGACGCCATCCCTGCCATAGCAGGCAGACCCAGACGGGGGGGCTGCCCACCACACAAGCACACCCAGCTGGTCTGCAGCAGCATGTCCTGAGGGCCAGAGGGCAGGAGGATGCAGGAGGTGCACACGGGGTCCCGGACTGGGACAGGCAGGTAGCAGCAAAGGGCAGCAACAAAAGAGCATGGTGTGTCCACGTCTCTGTCCACGTCTCTGCCTGACGACAGGTGAGGCCGGGAAAGGGAAGGCCGGCTCTGGGGAAACACGTGCTGCAGGACCCGGGCCTCTGAGGTCCCCACGGGAGCAAGCACACAGCCACATGCTCACGGCTCCACGCTCAGAGAGAGCAAACATGGCACAGTGTTACCAGTGGTGAGTGTGGGCGAACCGTCTATGGGACTTTACTGAAATACACCTGCAGGGTTTCTGTTGGCCTGAAGTTTTTTCGAGATAAAAAGTTTAATTTAAAAAATCATAGAGGGCGCCTGGGCGGCTCAGTCGGTTAAGCGTCTGCTTTCGGCTCAGGTCATGATCCCAGGGTCCTGGGATCGAGCCCTGCATCAGGCTCCCTGCTCAGCGGGGAGCCTGCTTCCCCCTGTCCCTCTGCCTGCCACTCCCTCTGTTTGTGCTCTCTCTCTCTCTGACAAATAAATAAAATCTTTAATCTTTTTTTTTTTTTAAAGATTTTATTTATCTATTTGACAGAGATAGCGAGAGTAGGAACACACGCAGGGGGAGTGGGAGAGGGAGAAGCAGGCTTCCCGCGGAGCAGGGAGCCTGATGTTCCACATCTCCTGGTCCCTTCAGTGTCCTGGGATCAGGACCTGAGCCGAACGCAGACGCTTAACGACCGAGCCACCCAGGCGCCCCGATAAATAAAATCTTTAAAAAAATTAAAAATCACAGAAATGGGACGCCTGGGTGGTGCAGTTACTTAAGCATCTGACTTGTGATTCCGGCTCAGGTCGTGATCTCGGTGTCGTGAGATCGAGCCCCGCGTTGAGCTCCGTGCTCAGCGCAGAGTCTGCTTAGGACTCTCTCTCCCTCTCCCTCTGCTCCCCCCACCCCCTGCGTGCTCCCTTTCTCTCTCTCTAAAATAAGTTAATGTTTTAAAAAGCTATAGAAATAAAATCCACTGACATACACTATTGCTGTCGGGGGACTGTGACAGAGGTGCAGGGGGAGGAGGCGTGTGACGGCCCCCAGGAGCTCCATCAAGGGGGCGGGTGGCCTGGGGAGGGACAAGGTGGTGTTGGGGCAGTGGGCCTCCCCACGCACTTGAGCCCTCGCTTCTGCTCTGCTTTTCATTCAGACAGGACAGGACAAGGGCAAGGCTGACCATGACAGAGCCTCTGTGTGCGCAGCAGGAAGTAGGGACTGGCGGGCCAGAAGGCCAGTGACCCTGCCCACCAGGCACAGGCCTGGCCCTCAGTGACCTCATGACCAATGTCAGCTGAGAACAAGGGCATCATTTAACTCCTGCTGTCTCTTCTGTAAGCCCCTGTGTGCTTGTGAACGGCCCATCTGGAGCCACCCACCTGGCCTGGCCCCAGCCAACCCCCCGGGTCCTGACACCCAACAGGAGGACGCCTCTTGGCTCAAGCTGCCCTCCAGTATGTTCCCTTGGGCAGTGACGTCCCCTGCTGGGTTGGCTTCCCTTCCCCGAGTGGGCACAATGCCGGCTGCCCTGCCCTCCTCCCTGGTCAGCCTGCGTCCATGTTCCACACCTCCTGGTCCCTCGTCCCCTTTTCATAGGACAAGAGTAAGCCCCTTCAGTGTCCTGTTTGCCACCCACTGGCCTGCTCTGGTTCGTCCAGGGCTACCCACCCCTTAGCCGGACGCTTCTCTGCCCGTGAGTACAGAGCCATCTGTTTGGTCCCAGCCTCTGCTCACCGGCGGTGCTGGTGAGCACCAAGCCTGGGGTCTGGCTGTCCTCCCCCTACCGACCGACGCTGCCCGTTTTCCCCAGGCCTCTTGGTGGTCCCTGTTACAGCCCCGGTCTTAGGCCCTGCCTTCCTGGGCTGCCTCAACGGGACCCAAAGCAGTCGCCCAGTGGACGCTCGGCGCTGACACGCAGCTCTGTGCTCCTGGCTGTGGTGAGCGCGGTCACTCTACATGCCTCGTGCCCAAGACGCATCTGCCCGGGGGCTCCCTGCTGTCATGCAGCCATCACACACCTGCCAGCCAGCCACCAGACCCTCTCAGGGCATGTGGGCAGAGGGGCTCACCTTGCTCCCTCCGCCCCGTGAAGGGATTGGGGGCTCAGCCTCCACCCCTCTCACCGCCCTGCCGTCCTCCTCGTCACTAGCAGCTTTGGGCAGGGGCTTCCCACCTGCTTGATTCACGAAGGGATGAGCCAGCCTCAGGCGGGGGGCACTGGGTGCCCAGCGGCTCAGCTCCTGAGTCAAATAGTGGTTCTCAGCTGCCGCGAGGCCAGGGGACACAGAGGACGGCGAAGAGGGAGGAGGGCAGCCACCGTCTCGAGTGTGGTTACTAGCGCTGCGTCCTCACCCACCACTGGGAGCCCTGCCCTCAAAATAACGTCCAGTGCTTTTGGAGTTGGGGAGACCTGAAGCTGCTGCTGGCTTGCTTCCAGAGACCTGGAGCTTCCTGTCTCCCCTCCCGCCCTGGGCCCGACTCTGGCCGCTCCAAATTTCTCCCTTACATGGAGCTCACATGCACATGAGCAGCCACACGCTCCCAGCCTTGCAGCAGGGGCCACCTGTCCGTCCGCAGCGTTTCAAGAGAAAACAGGCGTCCGTCCTAAGAGTCCTACCAGCAAACGACTCCCTCCTCGGCCGCACATGAGGGAACCCTGGCTCAGCTCATCAGGCCTGCAGACACCGGGCCCGGGGAGTCTCGGGGAGCAGGGCAGACTAGGCTGACTGTGCAGGGGACGGGATTGGCCAGGCAAGAATCATAAGGCTTTTGAAGGCTACTTTCAGATGAGGACAGGTGCTGTCAAGAAATAAAAGGAGCACTGTGACGGGGGAGGCAGCCCTGGGACAGTGGATGGCCAGAGAGGAGGCGGTCTGAGGGACGCATGGCAGCTGTGGGACTAGGCTCAGTGGGGAGCCAGTGCGTGGGGGGAGGGGCTGTGCAATTTATTCTGCAAGCTTTAGTGACCATGCCACCAAACCAGTCCCTGCGGAAGACCAGGCTGCTAAGATGTCGCTGAGGCTTGGCACACCCCCAGACAACAGCCACCAACATAAAATCAGAGTAGCGTATAAAACCCTGAGTCACTTCCCAGCACCAAGCCGCAGATCCCCAGCTGAGTTTCCCCTGTCCGCTCGGCAGCCAGGTGGGGGCCCGCAGGGCTGTGAGCAGAGGGGGCTGGATCCCCAGGGACCACACACAAAGCCACAGAGCGCCTGCCCTGCTCCGAGGGGTGCGAGATGTACCAGAGTCCAGTGCATCTGGGCATTTCTGCTTACCCCCTCCCCTCTGGGCAGTACGGACACCTGTTCAGTCAGCTTTGTTTAATCCACCCGTTTGGCCACGGAACATACTTTCTTACATTTTACACCTATTCCATCCCACGACCTGGGGTTCCCTTTGGGATGTATTGCTCTAGGGCCCCCCCCCGCCCCCCCGCCCCTTCCGTGGAGGATGAAGGGGCTCCAGGGCGGGGAGGGAGAGGTAGGGGCCAAGCAGAGGGAACAGGACTGTGTCCTTGTGGCATCTGGAGAGGCAGCCCCACCAACATCCCCATTGTGGCCCCACTGAAACACGAGTCTGTCCCCTCCCCTGGAATCTGGTCTGTGACTTTTTTGACCAACAAAACATGGCAGAAGCAACTCGATGGTAGGGCCGAACCTGGTCTCCGGGTTCCCATCAGAGCCCAGCAGCGAGAGATGTCGGCCATGCAGAGGCCACGTGGAGGTGGAGGGAGGCACGCGTGGGCCCGCTTGGACCCATGCCCCAGGCGCACAGAGGGGCTGTCCATGCACACGCTGCCTGCATCCGAGGGGCATCCGAGGGGTAACGATAATAAACTACTGTTTGAAGCCATTAGCTTTTGGGGCAGTGTGCTGTGGACAAGCAGAACAGTGGGAAGACACAGAAAGTGGTGACGGGCCAGGGACAGGGAAGAAAGAAGGGGGGTGACATGACGGGGAGACAGCAAGAGAGGGCGGGTGGAGAAACCCCCGAGAAAGAGGCAGGCAGAGGGAGGGTGAGGATGAAGACAGGCTGCCCGAAGGCCAGGCTAGGCAACTTCTCTCCCCCCGTCCTCAGGCTCCCCCTACTCCACTCCCCCTACGCCCCATCCTGGCTGCCAACAGCTCTTCGTCCTGCAGCCACCTTGTCGCAGCCTTCCCAGGGCCCCGGGCCCACAGGACGCAGTGGGACTTCCTCTCGTGGCCCAGGCTCGGCCGAGTCCGTACCTCACCTCCTCTGTGTCTCGCCACCATTCCCTTCCCGCACGCTCTCCCCCTGCACGCCCTCCTTCACCTGGCAAGCCCTGAGCCTCACACCACCCCACTGAAGTGCCTGCCCACAAAGCTCTGGCCTGGCCCGGTGAGGTACACCTGCCTGAGGTCGGAGGCCATGTCTCTTCCCTTCTGGGGCTGCTGAGGAGCGCTGGCAGGATGCACACGCTGCTCCCTGCTTCTCGCTGAAGCGTCGGGCAAGCCGAGCTCTTTGCTTGCTCTCATCCAATAAAAGGGCAACTTTTTACCAAAGGATCACATGCATCCAAAAAAGCACACAAATCCTAAGCGTATAGCTCGATGGGTTTTCACAATCTGAGCACAGCCGTGTAATCGCACCCAGCTCTGAAAGCTAAACACGAGCCCGAGTGTGCACCCAGTTACTGCCCTCCTTGCTCTCCACATCCCGACACGGGACGTGAACCTCACTCCGACG